TTGCTCGTCAGAAATCAAGCGTATACTAGCAATGACTTAAAATGCAACAGCTATCTGAATAAAATAAGGAAATATATAGCATTTATAAATGGGCAAAATATTCTTCTTTCTTTATTGTTCTTCTGTACTTCTTTCGTGTTTATTCTTCTTTTTAATACTCTAATTTTGTTTTCAACCTCTAATCACCATATAAATATTATAATTTTAAATTATTCTAATCTCCAATCTCTATATACATACTCTATTGTATAATTAATACTCTAATACTGATCACTGTATACTATATACTATGAACTGCTTGTTTTATTTACTGACTGACTAACTTCTTAATAAATTTACTAACTAACTGTCGAACTGTCTTCTGTTTAACTTCTTAATTAACTAACTTCATACTGTTTTACTGTAACTGTTTTAATTTACTCTCATACTGTCTAACTTAATACTATCAACTATCCTCTATCCTCCAAATTACATCGTATTTATATCATTTTATCGTTCCAGAATTTTCTTAAAAGCAATAATATTCGAATTTGGTCTATTTCCTAGATATATGAATGTTATCGAATAGTCTACCTCGCAAATTGGGTTAACTTTCATATATTGACGTTTTCTAGAGAATTCTTTACCCTTCTATCGAGAATTTTATGGACATTTAGGCTATTCAGATCAGAATGTTAACTTATATGTAAATTAAACACCTTAAATTAATATATAACACTATTTTACATCCGTAATTATTATTCAAATGTCACTCTCTATTGAAATTCATTCTTATGTCATAATAACACAGACTCAACTCAGTGTATATTTGGTTGCCTATGCACATGGCTCACTTAAATATATCTATAATATTAAAAATAAAAACTTTTTAAACTTATTATTATGCTAATTTCTTCTATATTTATTATTATCTCAATATATATATATATATATATATATATAAATATATATATATATATATATATATATATATATATATATATATATATATATATATATATATTGTAGTTTTGAGTTTCTTGAACCGTATTATATTTAATATAAAATTAATGTTTCTTGGGTTTAGGTTCAATAAAGATATGTTACACGTGGAACTAGATTTTATTTTCCATTGTAATCAATCAACGTTTCGGCAGGAAACCCTTGCCTTTGTCAAGATTCTAAAATGTGTATATATATAAGGACAAACAGATATTGTAAAATATGTATATATATATATATATATATATACATATATATATATATATATATATATATATATATATATATATATATATATATATATATATATATATATGACTTACCAAAACGTAAAACGTGACACAGACATTAACGAACTGACGTATAAAAGTTGATATCTGATATCTCATTGTTTACTGTCATTAGTATATAATTATTTTTATATGGGCGTATCGTTGATGTTTTCGAAAAAGGTAAGGTGGAGATCTGTTAGGACTTTAAGAGCTTTTTATGATGTTATATTATTATTGTTAAATCAGATTGAAATATATTTTATTTAGTATATATTTATTATATATATATATATATATATATATAAATATATATATATATATATATATATATATATATATATATATACTGCGTGTCTTCTTAAATTGTCCACATGTGGGAAAATTTTTAATTAAGTAATTTTACGAAAAAACGTTATACTTTATAAAAAATTCTGTATGGTTTAAAACCAAAGATGCAACCTATCAAATTTTATTATGCCTATACAAAATTTGCCAAAAATATGGATTAAGAGTGAAGTACCTATCGAAAATTGTTAGTTTCAAAAGTTGTTTGGAATTAAAACTATGTTTTAATATGCAATTACATCCTTTTATTTGAAAAATAATTTTCTCAAATTACAGATGCCTAATATTATTTTTATGAAATAAAAAATATGATTACTCTTTTATTATTAATATTACGAAAAAAGTTACTCCTAATTACAAGCTCTGCTGCTTGCAATTACCAAATAATACATTTTTCAATCAATTTTAGTTATGAGGTACATCAAAAACATGAATTTTGGAAACGAAAAAAAATTTCAATTAGAAGGATGTAATAACAAATTGCAACATAGTTTTTAATTCTGAAAAACTTTTCATAATAACAATTTTTGTTATTGTAAAATATAAAGGAACTTTAGTCCTGGGCGAAATTCATCTTTTTTGGAATACCTCCTATAAAATTGAGAAAATTTGATATCTGATGGATCCAAGGTTTTAGATCATGTAGAGCTTTTTATAAAGAATACCTTTTTTTTTGTAAAATAATATTGAGTTTTTAAAGATAGTTTTTAATTCCAAATGACATAATTGTAAACTGTAGAATATTTATGTCCAATATTGTATGACTAACTATATTATTAAAAATATCAAATGCTTAAAAATATATACGTAATTATTAAAAACCTTTCTAAATAAAGCAGTTTAGACTGCTTGAGCCAAGATGCAGGTATACATTTTAACGAGTCATTTTATTGAACTGCTCTAGTTTAATTGTAAAATGCTCTTGAATTCGTAATAGAATTAAATAACATTCTTCGAAATTTCTTTCTCGAAATGTTAACGACTGTTAAGACTCTAAGCGAATGCAAATGAGGATGTTACTGTAGTGTTTTTTCGTTTCTTTATTTCGCTGATTATTATTCACGATCGAAATCCGCATACTTAGTGACAACTATAGAAAAGAAAATAGTTGGTGGTTCCTTGTAATATTAGCATAAATCTGCAAATTTGTTACATAAAAATTTAAAACAATCTAAAAAAAATTGAAGGTGTCAAAAGAAGAGGTACATTAGATAATTTAAACCTTTATACTGGAAATTATAAAATGTTTCTTTTTAAAATAACTTATTTAACTATTAAATTTTGATAAATTGTAAGTTCACATATTATTAAGAGGACGACAAGTTAGGTTAAGTTCATAAAAATTCATGTTTAAAACCCTAACATATTTATCCTCTTCTTTTTTATATAAGCAATTGTACTTATTTGTTGCCTCTATCAACTTATTAACTTCTGTCAACATATGTATATATATATATATATATATATATATATATACACATATATATGTATATATTGTTATGATTTGTTGTTGTTGTATGTATGAGCAATGAGTAAATTTGAATGATATATATATATATATATATATATATATATATATATATATATATATATATATATATATATATATATATATTTAAATATAGGGTTTTTATCGCGATTCTCAAAGAATTAGTTTGTAAGTACTTTTTTAAATTATCTTTATTATAACTATTATGAAACAAACCTATCTATCTAATATAAGCAATATCAATTTAAAACAATCTATCTAAAATTTGAAATTTTTACAATTATTAAATTATTAACAAAATTTGGTACCCTCTTTCAGTGAACGCCTAATACGCCTTTCTTTTAATAATATCCTATCAATTCTTATTTCTTCTTCCTCCTCATCTTTCTCCATAAACTTAATTATTTGCCCTTCCAAAGTTACAACTTTTTCTTCATACTCTATCTTCACTTTCTTCTTTTCCAATTCATCATTTCCCATTAATATATCAACACATAAATCTTTGACAATAAATCCTTGCATATTAATTTCTTTATTAAGAATATTAATTTTAAAATTAGCTAGTTTATCAATTTCACCCAACTTCTTGTTATTTGCACCAACTATTTTAATTTTTGGAATCTTCATTATATCTGATAGTTTTAATGTATTAAAAATAAAATTTTCCGAGACTAAAGTACTTTCTGAACCAGTATCTATCATAATCTTAATCATTTTATTTTTGGCCATAGCATCTATATAAATTAAATTAATAGATTCAATAATTTTATCTTCATCTAAAGCAATAAATTCAGAAGGTTTCTCATAATGACAATGACCACACTTGTAATTCAGAAAGTTTACGGCATAAAATTTGGATTGTTAGAATTATTCTCTAATTGTGTCTGACCATTTGGTTCTAATGTCCTGTGTCTTTCACTACTATGACTTCTCATATTTTCCTGCCTTGTACTATATCGTTCTCAATCTTCTGTTCCTTCGTATATGATTTACCTGTCAGTTGTAATTAGGCCGTTCTGTATTTCTCCTATTGTTAAAATCTTGTCTATTATAATTAGAATTGTTATTAACATTTTGTCTATTGTAATAATTAGTACTGTTATTTAAATTTTGTCTATTTTGATTATTATTTTTGTTGTTAAAATTTTGCACATTATTTCCATATCGGTCGGTCAGATAGCTCAGCGGGCTGTGCGGCTGCCTCTCATTCGCTTCACTGTCGAATGGTTTAGTGGATGTGGGTCGAGCCCAAGCTCGGTGTACAGAAAACAAAAAGTCTAACGCAGCAGTTTATGAAATTCTAGATGAATCTGCGGCTTAGACTAGGATATGCTGGGTTCTGATCGGCCTATGGTGGAGCAGTACGGCAAGAGATAAGGGCTTGCGGCTCGGTGATACTCCTCCATAGATCCCTACCGGACGGGCGTAACGCCTAAAAAACCGGATATATATATATATATATATATATATATATATATATATATATTTCCATATCTATTAATATTATATGATTGTCTATATTGTTGATTATTATTCTTATTATATTGAACATTATTATTGTTTTTTCTATTATTATTATTATTATTCATCCTAATATCATTATTATCATTGTTACTTGTCATATTACCTCTTTTTATTCTTTGAATAAAATTGATAAAACTATCTATTGTTTGAATATTTTGTACTGTTACTGTTTGTACAACATCTGTATCAAAATGTCTAGATACATTTAAAACTGTTTCATCTTCTCTAAGTGGTGGTTCTAAATAATTTGCAACTGTTATCAGCTTTAATGCATAATCTACCATATTAGATCTTAAATTATTATTATACTTTCCAAAATAGAGAACTTTCCTAAATCTAGCTTGCTCTAATTCACCCCAATAATAGTTTAAAAATTTATTTTCAAATGTTTAAAAATTGTCCAAATCATTCTCAACACCGGCAAACCAAGTTGCCGCATTATCACTTAATGTCATTCTAATATAATCTTTAATATCATTAATATTATTCACTAATCTTAATTTATGTTTTAAACTATTTATGTAAACTCTAGGATGCAAATTTTTGATATTACCAGAGAATTTAATCCCAGTGTCATTTGTTAAATTTAAGTAAGGTCTCCCTATGTCTCTCATGTGTGAAATATCATCTATTCTTTGTTCCACATTTCTTATTTGATTACTATGTATTTGGATATTTTGTTGCATATCGTCCAATATTTTTTCTGTGTTTCTCCTGTCTTCGTTCATTTTGACTTCTAAGTTACATTTCTGCAACTCTATTTTCTGTTCTATATCTATCAT